AGAAGATCAGCTGGGAGGCTTGGAGGCAGCAGGGGCGGGGCCAGCCTATTTGCCGGTTCTCTGAACTACTCAAAATTTCCACTACCGGTTCTCCAGAACCTGTTAGGACTGGCTGAATACCACCTCTGTATCTGAAGTTCGGATAGCAGTAGAAGAATAAGGATAAGGAATTGAACCCAACCAGGAGTTCAGATGCCTCTCCCTCCCCATACCAGTGGTGGGTTGCAAGCAGTATGCCCCGGTATGGGTGTACCGGTGCCTGCCAGAGCACCGGATACCATTCCGGTACGGTGTTCTGGAGTGCCCGCCTGCCCGAGCTCCTTACCTGTCTTTAAACTCTTCTGCACTTGCGCACAGCGCTTAAAGCGCCTGCACGATGCTCTGTCGAGCAGCTGGAGCATCACAGAGGTGTCACTGGAAGGGAAGACACATGCGCTCACTGGCGCATTCATGTGGAGGACACCGAGCCCTGTTGCAACCGTACCAGTTGCAACGGGATCCGAAACCTGCCACTGCCACATATCCAAATTTCGTTTATCAGGAAGAAGCAAGGAAGCCTGGTGTGTGTGTGTGTGAGAGAGAGAGAGGGAGGGAGGGAGAGGGAGAGAGAGAGAGGGAGAGAGAGAGAGAGAGAGAGAGAGAGAGAGAGATGGAATGTCTGATGGGGAGCCCAAAAGTTTTATTACCTCTTTTATTGACTTTGTAGCTGGTCCTAAATCTGATGAAGAGGCCATTCAGGTTTCATCAGCAAGACAATACAAAGAATTTGGAGTGGAGAATTAAATTTACTGGTTGTTTGGCAAGTTGGCAGGGCAACTGTTGCCAGGATTTTACAGACATTTATGGTTGTCTGAGCCCTTTGAAAAGAATGTAGCAATTTGAAAAAAGGGATTTAATGAAGGAGAGGAAGGAGTGCTAATAGGAACTACTGTTTGTTCAGAAGGGAATTTGCATCCTTGTTTGTAAGCCATTTGTCACTTTGATATATGCTCCACATTTATCCTGCACAGTACTATTATTGATGAGAAGCAAGATGAATGCCTATTGTTATCCGCATAACAAAGATAGCCAGGAATAAATCAAAAACTTGTCTGGTTCTTCCCACTGGAGATGCACAATCATAGAACAAGGAATGATAGAATTGGAAGGGTCCTCAAAGGTCCTCTAGTCCAACCCTCTACTTGAGCAGGAAACCCTATATCATTTCAGACAAATGGCTGTCCAGTCACTTTTTGAAAATGTTCAGTGATGAAGCACCCACAACTTCTGATGGGAAGCTATTCCACTAGTTACCGTATTTTTGGGAGTATAAGACACACTGGAGTATTAGACACAGCAAGGTTTTGAAGAGGGAAATTAAAAAAAAGTTTTTGCACTCTGCAAACCTCCCACAAATGGCCCATTTTTTTAAAAGGACATGAATAGCCCTTAGGAGGCTTGTAAAGTGTTCCTGGGGGGGCGGGGCCCAAAAACAAGCAAGAAATGGCCCATTTTTCTCAAAAATGGGCCCGTTTTTTGACCCCAAAAAAGGGCATGGATAGCCTTTAGGCTTATAGAGTGCTGTTGGGGGCTGAGGGGGGGGGCAAAAAACAGGCCATTTTTTGCTCATTTCTGCCCTCCCCAGCCACCAGGAGTTCTCTGAAATCCTTCTAAAAGCTATGCACTGCCATTTTGATGAAGGGTGGTGTTTCAGGAGGCAAAAAATGCTGTATTCAGTGTTGAAGACGCACCCAGATTTTCAGCCTCTTTTTTGAGGGAAAAGGGTGTGTCTTATAGTCTGAAAAATACTGTAATTTCTCTCACTGTTAAGAAATTTCTCCTTAGTTCTACAGACTCCTCACATCCTGGACATAAATTGTTTCAACCTCTACCCTCAAAATGACGCTATAGAGCATTGCTATAGTTTAAAATAGTTTAACTCCCTTGTCTTTGTAGGAACCCTTAAAATATTGGAAACGCCGCTCTCCTGCCTCCCCTAATCCTTCTTTTCATTAGACTAGACATATCCAATTCCTGTAACTGTTCTTTGCAGTATCAGGCCAAACAACACTTTGGGTGTTTTTCCCTACAACCTCTTGATCATCGGTCCTCACTTCTTCCTCTCCCCTGTGCAGAGCAATGGGGGAGGAAATAGATGCCTATCCTGTGACATTTCAAAAGACTTTTGAAGTCAGTGTGGGGGGTTGCATGAAATTGGGCGTGTTTGTCCATTGTTGAAGTCAAAACCTTTACCTCCCATCTGTTTATAGATAGTTCTCAACCTAGGACCACAATTGAGCCCAAAATTTCTGTTGCTAAGCAAGACATTTAAGTGAGCTTTGCCACATTTGATGACCTTTTTGATAACTGCAGTTAGTTAGTAACACAGTTGTTACTGGCTTCCCCATTGATTTTGCTTGTCAGAAGATCAAAAAAACCGGGACATGGCAACCGTCATAAATACAAGCCAGATGCCAAGTGCCCAAATTTTGATTATGTGGCCATGGATGCTACAATGGTCATAAGTGTGAAAAACAGACATAAGGCCCTTTTTTGAGTACGATTACATCTTCAAATTGTGATTAAATGAATGGTTGTAAGTCAAGGATTAATTGTACTCACCAGCTGACTGTAATATTAACGTGTATAGTTTTTGATTTAAATCGACCATTTCTTTTCGTTTGTAAACTTATTGAAAAAGATACAAAATAGTTCATGAATGGCATCCACTGAGATAAATCAGCCAGTTTTAGATTTTTCAAAGCAATCACTCAGACAAGACTGTAAACCTAAGCTCCTTGGGAAGCCAATTGCTTGAATAGCTTTTGGAACTTCTTTTGACATCTAGACCCTCAATGCTGTCCTGATCTCAAGACATACTATTGGCTCAACAAAGGGAGAAAGTTATATTAGCAGAATAGCAGAGTTTGAAGGAATATTGGAGGTCTTCTAGCCCAGGGGTCTCCAACCTTGGCAACTTTAAGACTTGTGGACTTCAACTCCCAGAATTCCTTAGCCAGCTGTCTCTTGAGTTACAATCCTGGGAGCTTACCATCATGGTCGTAACTCATGACAGTCATAAATCAGGTTATCAAGCCTTTTTTTCTGTGGTCTTTAAGTGAACCAATGGTTTGCCATAGCCAGTTTTAGCAATAGTAATAGCACTTAGACTTATATACAGCTTCACAATGCTTTTGCAGCCCTCTCTAAGAAGTTTAGAGAGTCAGCCTATTGCCCTCAACAGTCTGGGTCCTCATTTTACCGACTTGGGAAGGATGGAAAGCTGAGTTAAACCTGAGCCATGAGAATCAAACTGCCAAATTGCAGGCAGCTGGCAGGCAGCAGAAGTAGCCTGCAGTACCGCATTCTAACCACTGCGCCACCACAGCTCAGTTTTGCCCAAAACCTGAGGTAGACATCATTTTCAGCAAAACTGCCATAAAATGTGGTCATGCGTCTGTGGGACACTGCAAATGTCCCACAGACGCATGACCACATGTGTCTGTGGGATACATATGGCTCAATTGCCAAGCACCCAAAGTGCAGTCCTGTGACTGGGAAGGGGCAGGGGCAGCTTCTGGAACTTCCAATGCAAGGTAAAAGTACTTCTGTACTTACGTAAGAAGGTCTGTCATATGTAAGTCAAGGAGTATCTATGGTTTATCTAATTCAGTAACTTGTCATTTTAGTTTAGTAGCACTTCTCCAAGGTCTTGGACAAGCCATTTATCTACTCATGCTAGTACATACAAATCTGGGTACAGGCCAGTGGTGAAATTCATTTTTTTTTACTACCGGTTTTGTGGGCGTGCTTGGTGGGTGTGGTAGGGGAAGGATACTGCAAAATCTCCAGTCCTACCCACTCCAGGCGAAGGATACTGCAAAATCTCCATTCCCTCTCCACTCCAGGGGAAGGATACTGCAAAATCT